ATATACATACATACATATGTATATAAAATTTTATATTTTTAGCATATCTTTGAGGTTCATCCATATATACACTGCCTTACTATTCTCTAAAGTGGGTCACTTTTTTATTACCATCAGCAATGTTTCAGGGTTCCAGTTTCCCCTATCCTTGCCAGCACTTGTTTTCTTTTTTTATTGCCATTTTAGTGACTGCAAGAAGACATCTCATTAATGGCTTTGGTTTACATTTCCCTCATATCTTTGGGTATCTTTTCATGTGTTTATTGGCTATTTGTATATCTTTGTTGAATAAATACCTATTCAAATCATGGGCCCATTTCTTCCTTTTAGTTGTGCTCATTTTTAAATTGAGTTTTGTGGTTGAGTTATAAGTCCTTTATATATTCTGGATCTAGACTACTGTGAGATACAAGATTTGCAAATACACCCCATGGATTATCTTTGCACTTTCTTGAAAACATGCTTTGAAATGAAAAAGTTTTACATTTTTTATCTATGATTTTTCTTTTGTTTCTTTTGCTGTTTTCATTTGTTGCTTAATGTCAGAAGTATTGCCTAATCCTAGGTCATGAAGATTTTGCCCATGCTTAGGTCTTTTGCCCATTTTGAATTATTTTTTGCATATGGTATGAGATAGGAGTTCAGTTTAATTATTTTTGCATATGATATCCAGTAATCCCAACATCATTTATTAAAGTCTATTCTTTCCTCCACTGAACTATGTTGATATCTGTTGGAAAATCAACTGAGTATAAATGTAAGGGTTTTTCACTTTCAGTTCTTTTCCATTCGTCTATATATCTCCTAATGCTGGCATCACATGGTCTTTACAAAAACCAGTAGTGGGCTGGGGATTTAGCTCAGTGGTGGCTCCACCTGCCTCACATGTGTAAGGTCCTGAGTTCAATCCCCAGTACCAAAAAGCAAACAAACAAACAAACAAAAAACCAAAATCAGTAGTGATACATATTTATGAGGAATCATGTGAAATTTCTGTACATGTATACAATGTGTTATGGTCAGATCATGGTAATTGGTATATCCATCACCTCAGACATTTATCATTTCTTTGTATTGGGAACATTCAAAATCTCCTTTGCTATTTATTTTGAAATACACAAGCAATTGCCACCAGCCATGATTAACTTACTGTGCTATAGAGCTTTGGAAGTTATTCCTCTTCTCCTGTGTACTCTGTAATCCTGCACCTGTTAACCATTGTCTTCCCTCCTGACACCCTTCTCAGTTCTGGTAAGTGTTAATTGCCCTTCACTTTTCTAAGATCAACTTTTTAGCTTCTACATGTGATAATATGTAGTATTTTTCATTCTCAGCCTTATTTCACTTTGTATAATATCCTCTAATTTCATCAGTGTCACTATAAATGGCACTTTTCCTTGTTCACGGCCACATAATATTCCACTACAAAGATATACCACATGTTCTTTAGCCATTCATCTATTGGTAGATTAATTTCAGTTTTTTGACAGTTGTGAGTAGTGCTCCAAAATATGTGTGAATGCAGATGTCTTATTGACATGTAGTTTTATTTCCTATATATCTAGTACTGGGATTACTTGATCATTTAATAGTTCTATATCTGTTTTTTGTTTTTTTTTGTTTTTTTTGAACCTGGGATTCAACTCAGGACCTTGTGCTTGCAAGGCAAGCATGGCGGCACTGAGCTAAATCTCCAGCCCTATTTCTAGTTTTTTGAGGAATCACTATATTGTTATTTCAATACTGGGTGTGGTGGCGCACGCCTGTAATCCCAGCACTTGGGAGGCCAAGG